GGTAATAAAGATATTCAAGGTATCAAAAGAGAATGTAGCTCTTCACAGAGTCAAACTTAATCTAACCTTTCTATTGAAATGATAGATCCAAAAGATATTGTCAAGATATGTCATGAAGCAAAAATTTCCAGAAAAAATAACCATGAAGAAGTAACACTCTTTATTGTTGTTTTCAATATTTTATCAGATTGGTATCTGGAGATTGGAAAGTGGATGAAGACTCTCCACTATTCAAAATACAACAAGATAAATTTTTATCCAGGAGCACCAGCCAACTGGGTTCGAAATTGCTTTGAGATAGGAAATATACTCTGTATATATCCTAGCAAAGACCTCAAAGAGATAGCTCAGCTTCCAGCCAACATCAGGAAAGCTGTTAAAAGATATACTGAAATTGTTAAAACAACAAATATATATATCAGATTTCATTCAGCAACCATGGAGTGGGATCCTATTCTTGAATATATGCATCCATCGTTCCATGTGATCAAAATGGGAATCACAAATCAACATTTTTTACCAACCAATCAAAAGGTTGTTAAAAATGGATATCAAGATATTCTAAATATAATGCCCTACAGACGAGTAAAAGGGTATAAAGAGATATTTGAACATATAACTCAGATAATTACTGAGAAAGAAAAAATATGGGTTTATCCATCTGAAAATCATATCATCTATTCCAATGCAAGGATGGATACCAAAGAAAAAGATATTTGTTATCTCGATCATTTATTATCTGCAATTATATCCAATCAAGTACACGGATCAGAGGATATGGCTAAAGAATTATGCAAATTACTTTGGAATTACAGTGATCATCATTGTGAATACTGTGTAGTTGAAGATATGAGTCAAGCATCCCTTAATGATGAAGAATTCCCTGCAGAATTCTTTGATTCAAAAATGGAAAAGTGATGGTGACTAAAGTAGCCCTTTATCACTACTTTAATAAAGAAATTTATTAAAGAAAAATTGTGGCTACTAGAAGACAGAAGATAATACAAGAAAATTCTCTATGATTGTAACTACTCCCCACCAATAGTTACAAGTGGCAGACAAACTCAAAAGATAAGGCATCTAATTTCAAAGGAAGAGGTCCACCCAACAAAAAGACAATAAAGAATTCGGTGGAGATAAGATGGCCTAACTACCCAACAAAGAAAGATGGAAAACACCTGTCCAAGATAAGATTCCAAAATCCCCTATAAAAGGAGGCATGAAGGAAGGAGGAGGATATCTCGAAATAGCTTATCTCTTAAACATATCTGAGAAAAATCTTTTGTAATCTATATACACCACTTGTATTCAGAAAAATATTATATAGCTTGAAGATAGGAAAGCGTGTAATAAGGTAATCACTTATGGAGTTCTAAACTTCATAAGGTGAGTACCAAAGGTATGTAAATATAGTTTGTAAGCATGTACAATTTCAATTTATGAATATCAAAGTAAAGTTTGTTATGTTCAACAAAGTTTATATAAAAGGATTTCGTTAAATTTCTCATGATTCCTCGGCAGTACAGATAGAGATTTTAAAAGATTTTCAAAACATTGATTTTGAATGGATGTTAGCCATGCCAAAGTACCCTTATTTGAAGAATGGTTTAGGAAAATGCAGTTTTCTAACAAAATTTTGTAGCACCTTGTGTGTGAGTTATCTTTTAAAATTTCGTTCCAAGTAGGAACTTGATTCTGAAAAGAGTTTGGATAGAGGTGAAAACAAAGACTCTGGATACTGTGAGATAGCGTCTGTGGAAACACGGCTAGTTCTTTAGAATGAGAAATGCAACCTTAATTAAAAAGCCTTTTGCGGAAGCAGTTGTGGACCCAAATGATTTCAAAAACATTTTAAATCTTTACTTAATTCAGAAGATTGATTAAGTACATGCAAAGCATCTATAAGAGCATACTGGAGGAAAAGCCTATTTATTTCCACTTGATTACTGTAAGTTATTTACTTGTTTTTACATGCTCATACTTTAATTATTTTGATGTACAATTCACAAGCATCCACTTCCACTGTTAATGGTGATAATAATTTTATTTTATTTTTAGATGAAAAAGATGTTTCGTTTTTATTTAAATTAGATGAAAAATCGGATGATATATTCCCTGTTGGTAAAGAAAAAATTGAAGAAATATATAGAGATATAGATTATAGTTGTAAAAATAATATAGGATTTGATTCTGTGAAAACTTATAAAGAAATAAGAAAAGTAGAAGATATTATAACTAAGCATAAAAATATACAAGAAGAAATTTCAGAAGGTTTAGTTCGAGGATATATAACTAAGAAAGGACAACCTGTAATCTTTGAAGAACTATCAAGATATAGAAAATATTTAAAGGTGTTCAAAAGATTGAAAAATATAAATATAAGTCCTGATTGACATGTCCTTAAAGATAAATGATACATCTTGTAAATAACTATAGTAAGGGCAATATAGTACTTTTAACAAAAGAGGCCATTGTGAAAAATATGAAGAATTTTCCAGCCATTCTCAAAATTACCCCTCCTACTAGACACTTATATTTTGAAAGTTTCTTCAGGACTATTTTCTAATGAAACAACCAACCACAACTTTTTACGTCAGAAACTGAAGCCATTAGAAGTAAAATTTCTAGTAGTTACATCAGGAGGGATCAGAGAAAAATATAGAGAATTGATTATACGAGACCGTTTATCCTCATTGTCGATGAATACTATTACTCATCAATTGTAGTCCTACACTTTACTCTTTGCTATAAATCTGCATGACAGTCGATACGAGTGGATAGAGTAAGGGGAAATGACTTCAAGAAATCTCACTTTTAATGACAAAAAATTTTTATCCTAAAAAATTTATTTAGTTGTTGGTTGAAAGAAGGGTTGTCAAAAGAACTTTTCAGAACAAAAGTTTCCGTCTTTATATATGTGTGTGTGGTTTTTGTTTTTGTTTTTTTTTTAATGATATTATGTTTTTCATTTGATGAATTTGATATGTTGATCCAATCAACACTGCCAGAATTTGATATATAATATCACTTTTCTATATAGGGACGAGCCACTAAGTTGAATTTCGTTTCAACTTGGTTGTACATTAATGAAAATTTGAGAGTTTTCCAATACTTTCAATTACTCTATATACTTAGTAAATCAATAAATATTGGATGGCCAGATTCTCATTATTCAATTCAATCAACGAGCGTTTGGGGGTGTTAATCATCTTCCGCATTTATTCCACTTTATCAATTATGTATAAGAGTACACGTTCCTCACAAAAATAATTTGGTGTCCACGAAACCTAAATAGCAAAATTCATGCGACATGATGAGTAAACAAAATTGTATCTTCAAGTGATGATGTTAGAAAAACTGATAGAGATGGAACAATTGTATTGATAAAGGTAGGCATTGAAGCAGCAAAACGATGATTCTACCATGATGGTCGGATGATCGTAGAGTCATAACAGTGGGCCACGAATGTGATGATAAAAATTTTGCTCCCTTCAATCATGATTTGTGATATTGATTTAGGCTAGTATTATGATGACAAGCCTCTTTAAGCCTTGAGGTCAACGAGTATGTTCAAGAAAATTATATTGAGGAAAAGACAGTGATTGTGGATATTAAGGTGTACCATGAAAGCAATGCAGGTTTCTAGTATTGCAATTTGGAGAGTTTTCACGATTGACTACACTATTCATATTGACTATAAGCAACTAACAATTGTTTTAAACAATTTGATGATTTAGAGGAAGTAGGTATTATTTTTTTGGGGAAGAGCTTACATTGCAAAATTCAATAGTATATATCCCCCTATTTGTTTTCCATTAAAATGAAAAATATAACTGTTATCCATCACATTAAATCACTATATTTGACTTTCTATCTCTTGTGTAGAGTTCGTAACGACTCTAATAAATTTCTATATCTGAACCATTATGGCAAGGAAAAGTTTGATTTTGCAAAAATTGGAACAAAAATATCATTTGATTCGTCGATCCTAAAAAAAAAAAAGAAAGAAGCAAAGTTCTATCATTGAGTGACAAATGGGAAAGTTGTGGATTGTTACAATCCCCATCATGGAATAGTGCACCTACACGCCTTCATCGACTTTGTTTTTCGACCTGTAGACCGAGAGCTAACTATTGAGACTTCGGACTATCCGAACACATACTTCGGGAAATGGTTCATGCGTGTTTATTGCGAGGAGCAACAAGATCAAGTTGGTAAGGATTAACCTTTAATTTCTATGGTCGATGATCATATAAGGCTTCTTTACCATTCTGTATAAATGGGCTATCGGTAGAGGGGCACATTCAATTCAAGTGTCTATTAGTTTTCACTTCTTCTCTTCAACGTGGGGTAGAGCAGTTTGGTAGCTTGCAAGGCTCATAATCATGAGGCAATATTCTATTGTAGAAGTTGTCAAATTGGAACTTTTATTATTCAGGCGAAAATTAATTTTTATTTATTTATTTCCTTGTTACAATAACTCGAAAATTTGTTAAGATTAGGTCACTAAAGTGTGTCTTTGCTAAGAATAGTAAGTTGGTGCTTCTTATTTTCCTTCAAATGTTAGAATTATGGTTCATTTTAAATCAATAGTTCTAATTATATAGTATTCTTAGTGAACCAATGAATATGATTGCCAGATTCTCGATATTAAATTTAAACAATAAGTATTTCGAGTTTTAATCATCTTTCGCATTATCATCTTATACCGTATTAACTATGTATTGTAATATGTTTGACTATTGTTTCATATAGCCCTTATTTTTGAATGAATTGTAATATTTTTTTTGGGGGGTGGGGGGGGGGGAATGAATTTTTGAATAGTGTATTGATGAGAAATGTGTGATTAAAAAATAAGTAAAAGTTTTAAATTTATGTGTAATATTATTTTATTAATGAATGTGTATTTGAAATGATATCAAAACATTGCTTAAAAATATATATTTTTGAAAAGAATGGGGCTCAAATATGGGATAATTACTGTACTACTGTTTGGTATAATTACCGCATGATTGTTTCCTATAATTTGGACCAAAAATCAAACTGGACTGGGACCTTATTAGTCATGTTTTTTGAAAAATTTAAAACTAATTTTGAAACTTTTTATTTTATTTTATTTTTGGTACTAATTTGAATGAATTTTCAAGTGACGCAACAACGTGACGCCATGAGCTGACTAACGATTTACTAGCTGTAAACCTCTTGACGGTTTCTCCACTTCCCTATAAATTCGTCCTTTTTGCCCCCATCTAGTAGAGTAAAACCAGACCAAAACAAGATCACAGCGCGTATCAACATGGATTGCAGAGAAAATCCCAGCATCATTACCACCGGCGCCACCGCCGCTGCAGTGGCAGCAGCAACTTCTCCCTCCTCACTCTCTCCTATATCATCTCCGACTGGATCTTTTTCATCTTTTCAGCCACGACCTGTTTCATTTAGTCCTTGTGCTGCATGCAAAATCCTCCGCCGGAGATGCGTCGATAAATGTGTTTTGGCACCTTATTTTCCGCCGTCGGAGCCACTCAAATTCACCATTGCTCACAGAGTTTTCGGCGCCAGCAACATAATCAAGTTGTTGCAGGTATTTTAAATGGTTGTTTATTTATTAATATGAGTCAAAACGATAGAATTCAATAAGTTCCTGTCAATAATCACGTCATCTCAATAGAAATTGATAAAGAGTATTGAAGATATATCAGAAAATGGCTCCACCACTGCACTATCAACCAAAGATTACAGCTCCTCTTGGCTTTCGAATTGAAATGGGAATGCTCTTATCACTTTCTTTTCCACTTAGTGATTGCTTTGACCTTAACGTACAATCTCAGTGGTTTGCCTGTGGACTTTGGATCTTATCATCCAAAAGTCCAAAAGTTTGTCTGTACAAATAATCTAGATTTGCATTAAGAGAGTTTAATACACCAGCCAACTTTTCTGAGATTCCATTTCAATCCAAACCCAAAAGCAATGTCTTTCTTTCTAATCCACTAATAAGTTTTTCTACATCTTTTACAAAGTAGGTAGCAGTTGATAATTCTCACTAGTTCTTCTTCTTTTGACTAGAAATTTGCCTCCTATGTTATAAAGTGGTGCTTGATCACACTTGTAGTAGGTTCCACAACTGAAAGGTATAGATTCAATTGTCAATGGAGTAGGCAGCCAATTATAACAGACTATATTTTCTGTGCATAACCATAATTCAACTCTCTTCACTCACTGCCTCTATTGAGATTTGTTGTTCCCTTTTAACTTTTTTTTTTTTGGTCCATGCCTCGCTAAATTGCTAAATTGTTAATATTTAGCCCATGTTTGTGCTCTATTTTAATTTTAATGCATTTTTTTCCTTCTTTTCAACAATATATTCTTTAATAAAATAATATTATACATGAATTCAAAGCTTTTCCTTTTTTAACCACACATTATCTATTCAAAAATACATTTTCCCCCTAAAAACTAACTTTAATGTAATGCCAACAGTTTGTTAATTTGGACATTTCACTTGTTAACAAATAAAAAGTTAGATCATTTGTGGTGTACTATATTGACTGACTTCCTATTTGCTAACAAGAATTAACTCACTTACATGTTATGCCCCTGTTTAGTTTTACTAAAAATCAATGTTTAAGTAGATTTTGATAAAAGCTAATGAAATATGTATTTGAAAAATTGATAAAAATTATGAGTCTTATGAAATATGTGATTAAAAATGAGTTTGGAGAAAATGAGTTTTAAGATATGGGAGCCCAACGGGCTAAAATCATTTTTAGAGGAAATTATTCTATTTATGTTCATTAGTACCAGACATATATATATTGCAGGAACTTCCTGAAGCTCAAAGATCAGATGCTATGAATAGTATGGTTTACGATGCCAACGCCAGGCTTAGGGATCCAGTTTACGGTTGTGCTGGTGCAATTTGCCAACTTCAGAAGCAAATCAGTGAGCTGCAAGCAGAACTGGCTAAATCACAAGCTGAAATTTTAAACATGCAATATCAAAATGCCAATTTGGTGGAATCCATCTACCAAAAAATGTTACAGAATCAAGAAAACTCCCCTCAATACCAGCAAGACGAGGATTCACGATTCTTTTTGGATGAAAGCTTTTTGGGTTTGGAACCCCTCTAGACATGAACAATTTTTGAAGTGAGATACTAAGAGGGCTGCTACATCTAATTTTTACATAGTTGATCCTAGTTGTCTACTAAAAGTGTATTAAATTATGGGATTTATATCTTAAACTAAAATTCGTCAAGATGTTTATCCTAGTTAATTAGCTCATTTCTTGTATTATTACTTTTCCTAAGGAAAAGAAAAGTCCTGGCAAAGGAAAATACATGTTGGAAAGAGATGTTCACTGAGTCACAAAGGATTGGAACTACTTGTAATGGAAACTTTTGGTCGAACAATTATTATCAATATAACTTTAACTCATTTTTTTGTTTCATGAATTTCCTTGTCAAACTTGCACTTGACCTTTCACTGAAATGCAATTATTATTTAACTTTCAGTCTTATATTCTGTGAAATGAGACATTCTTATATGCTTAAAATTAACAATTTTTGAGAAATTTAGATCAACTCATTTTTGAGAAATTCACATCAACTCATGTCAAATAAATTTGTTGAAAATCACGGAAAAACCCATCTAATTAACCTTAACTTTTACTTGAACAACAGTGAACATATCAGATCATCTAGAATGCAACTTCGAGAAAAGAGCTTTTGTCGTGAATTATGTATAAGAACTTGCAAATCCTTCATAATTTCTTCTCTAATATTTTTATCATGGCAGCCTCCCCAACAACCGGTAGATTCACTGACTGCAGTTCGAGGGTTAATAAATATTCCCCCAAGTTTGATTTTATTTATATTAAACCCTTGTTTGAGCCACGTTATTTCCATAGAAATGTATTTTTGAATAGTGTATTGATGAGAAATGTGTGATTAAAAAATAAATAAAAATTTTGAATTTACGTATAATATGAGGTTGAAATGATGTCAAATAACTGTTCCAGAATGCTTTTTTTTTTTTTTTGAGATAATGTGGGTCAAACAAGGCATAAATCTATGATTTTATTCTTTATATATTATGATTGGGTGGAGGGTTCTTTGCTTCCCCTTGCTCGTCTCTTGGTCGCCAAGGGAATATGGGAAACATGTTGGCAACCTAAACCATTTTATGAACTCAGATGGGCTTTATTTGCGTTTCCTTGGTTGGTGGTCCATAACTCCTTTAGGTGTACGTGGATTGCGCATGACTTAATCATCTTATCTTGAGATTCGAACAACCGTCCAGTCATTTTCAATGGTTATGATTATTATTGACATGTTTTTAAATACTAACATCTCCCATCAGAATCTATAAATATATTGTTATTTAGCTTGGTCATCATCATTTTGCCGTCCACTTTTCTTAAGCAATCTTTTTCATTTTTGTGCTTCCTATTTCTTTCTTCTTGCTCAGCATCCTTTTTGCAACGTCTTCCTAAGCTGACTTTCAGAGTACGTCTAGTGGTTCTGATTCAGGGATTTTTAATTCTAGATGTGATAATTCTAGCAAACTTTTCTTGTTCTGTGGAAATTTTATATTATGACGTGCTCCCCTGCAGAGCTGTAACTCAATCTGGTACATGTGTTAACCCAATAACTTTTTGGTAAAGCAGGAAGTTTTCGACTTGGGGTGGGACGCATAATGTAGGAGGTGAAACCTCCAATGTGCTTGTTGATTTTAATGATAATGCTGGAAGCATTTTTTAGGCTTCAAGAATTTTTAGCAATCTCTCTAAATAAGGCCTGGCCGAAATAGGATCCATTTCAACATTCCTAGTGATATAGAACTTTTATGTCCTAGGCCATTTCGTTTCAAATGGTAGATCGCCCTTCCCCAAACTGCATAGCCAGTCACAGACTTTATTGAATATGGGACTTAAAGTCCCTTTCACCGATTTTCGAGGGAAACTCTTTCTTCCTTAAATAGGCCCCCTCTCAACTTGTTCCGAGTTGGTGGACTCAATTGTTTGGGTCTTTTTTATTGTGGGGTTCTATAGGCCTACTAGGGGAGCTTTCTTTGAATATATTTTAGTTTGACATATTGTTCTACGCCATTAGGGAATATTGCAAATCCTCAAATGGTTTTAATCTTTTTCCCATAGCTTGTCCAGATTTGATAATTTCCCTTGCCCAAGTACCTTCTTGAAAAGATGGTTTTTCTTTGTTTGAGGTAGATGGGAGCTTCAACCTAATGATCATCTTCATTCTATTGACATGCCTTGTACTTATGCAAAGTGAAATGAATACTTGCTTTGAACACAGATCGTAAGATATGACAATAATGAAGTAAGCAGAAAAGTAAATAACACAAAGATTTATGTGAAAACTCAATTTAGGAAAAAGCCATGGGTAAAGGAGGGGAAAATCCACTATAATCAATAGGAATGTATTTACAATATCAAGTCTCAATATTCTCAATTGAATCTAAGCTCACAAGATGTCGTAGATTTGTTCTCTCAAGAATTTTTTTCCTCAAAAATCATGAAAACTCTTATATATATATAAAAGCCAGGAAGATAAGTTGCTCAAGTGGCGTCGAGCGACAGGCAGGAGAGAAGTGGCGATTATTGTTCTACTCCATATGCTGGAGCATCCAGTTAGCAAAAAGCTAGTGAAAATGCGACAATAATTTGTCCCGGTCCATAAGTTGATTTTTCCAAGATCAACCCAACTACTACTCTTAAAACCCCAAGAATTTGGGCCACACTATAAAAAATCTCCACTTTTAGCCAAATTCCAACACAAGGAATTCCAAATACAAATCTCCAAATAAACATCACTCTACCTCTTCTAAGACCCAATGGGCAAAATCAATGACAAACACCTACTAAGTTCAAGATATATTCAAACTTAGCAATGTGAAGTGGGTTTATCACCATGTCAGTAGGATTCTCTTTGGTATCAACCTTGCTCACTACAATGTTACCACGAGCAATTACTTCACGTACAAAATGGTATCTCACATCAATGTGCTTAGTCCTCTCATGGAACACCTGATCCTTAGTCAGAAATATAACACTTTGGCTATCACATTAGATTGTAGATACCTGCAAGTCTTTACTGATTTCACCAATTAATCCTCTCAACCACATAGCCTCCTTACATACCTCTGTAATGATCAGTACTCTGCCTGTGTTGTAGACAAAGCTACTATATTTCGCAAAATAGCTTTTCAACTGATAGCACAGCCTCCAAGGGTAAACACAAACCGTGTGAGTGATCTCCTTTTGTCAAGATCCCCTGCGTAGTCTGAATCCACATATCCTATGACTCCTTCTAAATTTCTTCCAAAATGTAGACAAGCATTTGTAGAGCCTTTCAAGTATCTGAGGATTCACTACACTGCTTTCTAATGTTCATTTCCAAGATTTACCTTATATCTGCTAACTACACTGACTGTACGTGTCAAATCAGGTCTTGTACAAACCATAGTATACATCAGCGAACCAACTACACTGAAATAAGGAACTCTAGACATATACTTAATATCTTCATCTGATTGCGGACACAAGTCTACTGATAATCTAAAATGTGCAGCCAAGGGTGTACTGATAGACTTTGCGTTTTCCATATTTAATCTCTGAAGTACTTTCTCAATGTATCCTTTCTGACTTACGTACAATCTGTCAGCCTGTCCCTCAAGATTTCCATTCCAAAGATTTTCTTTGTTGCTCCCAAATCCTTCATCTTAAACTTTTAACTCAGCTGAGACTTCACTTTCTGACCTCTACTTTGTCTTTAGCTGTTATAAGCATATCATCAACATACAATAACAAGTATGTAACCGATCCACTACTTTCCTTCCTGAAGTACACACAACTATCATAATTACACCTTTCAAAACCATGAGTAGTCATGAAAGAATAGAACCGCTTATATCACCGCCTCGGCAACTGATTAAGTCTATATAATAACTCCTTTAACAAGCATACATAATCTTTCTTTGTAGAAACTATGAACTCTTCTGGCTACTGCATGTAGATGTTCTCCTCAAGTTTTCTATGCAAGAATGCTGTTTTGACATCCATCTGTTCAAGCTCCAAATCATTCTTTGCCACATTCTCAAGTAAAACCCAAATTAAACTGTGCTTTATAACTAGCGAGAACACATCATGAAGTTAACACCTGGAAATCTGACTATATACCTTTGCTACCAACCTAGCCTTAAACCTGGTATCTTCAATCTCTGATTTCCCTTCTTTCTTTTTGAACACCTGCTTAATAACGAACAACCCTTTTTTCCTTGAGCAATTTCACTAAGTCCTAGGTACTGTTTTTGTTCAAAGACTGCATCTCCTCCTGCATTGCAATCAACCATTTTTCAGAATCACTACAACTGATTACCTCTGAATATGTAACAGGTCCTTCAATGGAATCAATATCTTCAGTCATACTCAAAGTATAAGCAACCAAATCTACCTCTCCATACCTTTGTGTTTTGTGAAGGTTTAATCAGTCTGCGAGGTCTATCCATTATAATCGAATACTGTTGTGCTAATGATGATATAGGCAAAGTATTACCGTCTGTCTCCTCTGAACCAAACTACTACGTAACCTCTGACTATTCCTCGGGGCCAATTTAAACCCACCTGAGTTGAATGACTATGTTCTCCAGTTTTATCGGAATCTGCAAGAGGTCTTCCACGAATTATAGCAAGTTAAATACTATATTCCTACTAATCACCACTTTCTTCTTTTTTGGACACCACAACTTATAACCCTTCACTCCTGATTCATACTTAAGAAAGATACACTTTCTAGACCTAAGCTCCAATTTCCCATTATTCACATGAGCTTATGCAGGACAACCAAAGATCTACATATCAGTGTCAATAGAGGGTTTACCATACCATTCATCTTCTGATCTTTTATTTTCAATGGTCCTTAAGGGTAAGTGATTGATCAGGAAACATGTTGTAGTAGCAGCTTTAGCCCAAAAAGACTTGGGCAACCCAGAACTTGCAAGCATCTAACGAACCTTTTTTTATCAAAGTTCTATTCATCCGTTCAATCATGCCATTCTATTGAGGAATTTCAGGCACTGTCAAGTGTCTTAAGATGCCTTCAGCCATGCAGAAGCTATTGAATTCATCTGAACAAAACTCCAACCCATTAAGAGTACGTAGACATTTCACCTGCTTGCCAATCTGCTTTTTTACCAATGTTTTCCACTCTTCAAAGGTATCAAACACATTACTCTTCTACTTCAAGAAGAATACCTAAACTTTTCTTGAGTAATCATCAATTACTATCATCAACTAATATACAACTCTCCTTGAAGGCACTTTAGCCGGTCCCTAGAGATCTGAATAGATATACTCAAGTGTTCTCTTTGTGTTATGTCTTCCT